ATATATTTTTCTAACACATGTCAATTATCGTTTACTGCATAAGAGCACATAAAATAATTGATAAGTATATAATAAAATGTATCAAATTTTTCTTGTACAGATTTATTGCGCGTCTGATAGTCACTATATTTTAATCCGTATACATCATAGTTATGATTTAGTGTTGAAGTTTGACTCCGATTTTTTGAGAAGCACATTTATAAAAGCATTCGAAAGATTTATATCAGATATTGCAACATCCGGGAATGTTTGTTCAATGCAAGTTATGACTAATACCACATATGCAGCGTTACTCAAGCAAGCAATAACTAAAAAGCATCGTCAAAAGAAATTGGAAATGTTTTTCCGTGTCGTATTCGCACAGGTGTGTCTTTCTTTCTTGTCTTGTGAAATATTCGAATAATATTGAATAATAATTCGATTATATAAGTATATCCACAACTGTGTGTCTTTAGGCATTCCATATTGCACATACGGAAGAAGAAATTCTACAAATAGATTCGTCAGTTGCAAGAGAAGTGATTTATACCGAGCTAACCATCGTAGAATTCGCGGAAGCCCTGAGTATGAAGCCGGACGCTGAATTCGTAAAAAAGGTAATATTTACATTAAATCTGATAAGTAATATGCAAATATGCAATACAAATATATTTGTTGAAAGATTATACATATCAACACATTTGCAGATATTTAATCTAGTGGATAAAGATAAGAACGGTTTTATATCATTTCGAGAGTTTGTTGACATGTTGGTGATATTTCTAAAGGGCTCTGCGGAAGAAAAAATGAAGTTAATGTTTGATATGTATGATATCAATGGTATAGGAAGACTTAAAAGAGAAGAGTTCTCAGCTATGTTGAGGTATATTTTTAAATTATCCAATTGCATGGCACACACTATCCTGTGCGTAGTGCCTTCGTATATGCGTTACATTAAATACTTGCAGATCATTCATGGAAACTAGCAATGCCGATATAACGGACGATGAGTTGGAAGCTTTGGTGCAATCCATGATGTATCACGCCGACTTGGCAAACAAAGAAACTATAAATTTACAGGATTTTCAGCAGATACTAAGCGACTTTAATGATAAATTTAATTATGCAGAACTGGAGTTCAATGTGCCTGCGGATGGAAAGAGCAACAGAAAACTTCACGCAGGCGTAAAAACTGTTAGATCAACATTTATCGGCGAAGTACAGAAGACGGTAGAGAGTCTATATGCCGATCCAAGCGAATTACAATACAGAATTGAGGGAAAAATCAAAAGTGAACAAAATGCGAAAAAGGAAAAAAATAATAGCGAAATTATCGACAAGAACGAGAAAATTGTCGAAGAGCTCAAGAAACACTCGGACAATTATTGGTATCCTGTAATGAAATACCTCGCTAACAAACGATTGCAAATATTCTGGGCATGTTTATACACCCTGTTTCTGCTTGGGATTTTCGCAGAGCGAGTATATTGTATGTTCTTTTCAAAGATTTTTTTACAGTAGACATCTATCTGACTTTAATTTTTGCACTTTATAATGATTAATACTGCTCTCTTTTATACATAGATTACTCTATACAACGAGAACATTCTGGTTTGAGACGAATATTAGGCTATGGTCTTACTATAACGAGAGGTGCGGCATCCGCTATGATGTTTACTTATTCCACATTATTAATCATGATGTGCCATAACACCATCACTGTTCTGAGAACCACAATTTTGCAATTTTATATTCCTTTCGATTCAGCGATAGAAATGCACAAATATATCGCTTGTTGGGCATTGGTCTTTACTGGTGAGAATATAAAATGTCTTAATCTTAATTTAAACAATGTATAAAATTTGTTAACAACTTAATTAAGATAACTCATTCGAGAAAGAGAGAGTTTTTTAACAAATTATACTTATGTTTACTCACATCTTAATATTTTTAGTGTTACATATAATTGGACACGGCTTTAATTTTTATCATATATCAACGCAAACTGCTGATGATCTGACATGTTTATTTCGCAACTATTTCCACGCGTAAGTCTACATCTCCTTCCTTAGATATTTCAATCACTCGATTTTAAGATATTTAAATACATATTTATTCGCATTTACATATGTGCATCATTATATTATACATAATTATATTCACATTTAGAACGCATGAGCTACCAAAGTTTCATTATTGGTGTTGGGGTACAATGACAGGTGTAACAGGAATATTTTTAACCATTGTTACTGGATTAATATTTGTGTGCTCTTTGCCGATGGTACGCAAGTCATTCTATAATTGGTTCTCTCTTATACACTCTTTATATCCAATTTTCTACATACTGATGATCTTACATGGCAGTGGAAGATTAGTACAAGTAATTAATATTGTTATATATAATTATCAATTATTTTTATATAAAACGATAGTTCATTTAGTGTGTTATCGAGAAAAAAAAATAACTTACCTAAAATCATATTATATAATTGAAAATTATTTGTAATTTATTACAATAGGAACCATATTTCCATTATTTCTTATTGGGACCAGTTATTTTATTTATTCTCGATAAAGTCGTAACTGTGACCAGAATAACGATAGAGATACCAATACTCAAAGCAGAAATTCTGCCATCAGGTATTCCTTTTTGAAAATATTATTGTTCTATTATTGTATTTATTCTTATTCAAGTCTATATTATTCAAGTATATATCATTCATATACATATGTTGTATAGGTGTAACATGTATAACATTTCCAAAACCTTTAAATTTTCAATATAAATCTGGTCAGTGGATTAGAATAGCATGTCCAGCATTACAGACAAATGAGTATCATCCATTTACTTTATCGTCTGCGCCACATGAAACGAGTTTAAGTATACATGTACGAGCAGTTGGACCATGGACTACAAATATTAGAGAGAAATTAGAGTTGTATACAATGTCTAATGAAACTTTACCAATGGTAAGTCTCTTCATATCACTATACTTGTCTGAAATTCTATATTTTTATATATAGAATTCACAAAATTTTTACTAATGAAATAAATTTTTCATATATTACTATACATCTGTCTATTTGTAGATTCACATGGATGGCCCATATGGGGAAGGTCATCAAGATTGGGATAAATATGAAGTGGCAATCATGGTTGGTAGTGGTATAGGTGTTACACCTTTTGCATCAATACTCAAAGACATTGTTTTTAAATCAAACTATAATTCAAACTTTGGTTGCAAAAAGGTAATAACATTAACAACTCTGTTCAAACTTAAATAATAAAAAAAAAAAAAAGGGGGGAAAAAAACGTATGTATAAAAATATTTTAATTTGCAGGTATATTTTGTTTGGGTAACAAGAACACAAAAACAATTTGAATGGATGGTTGACATATTGAGAGAGCTTGAAAAAGCAGATATCAATAACACAGTATCAATTCATATTTTTGTTACTCAGTTTTATCAAAAATTTGATCTACGTACGATACTTTTAGTAAGATATCTACATTTAAATGTTATCGTATTTTAATTTAAAAAACTTTGGTCCTAAAAGATCTCCAACTAAATATGATTTTCAGTATATTTGTGAACGTCATTTTCAAAAGATTTCAAACAAATCTTTATTTACTGGACTGAAAGCAGTGACACATTTCGGACGCCCGAAATTCTCTCAATTTTTCCTGTCTATACAAAAATTATACCCTACTGTAAGTATCTACTGATTATCAATGTGGATAATGTTTCATACTAATTGCATAATTTTTTTAATCAACATTATATTATATTGTGCTTTAAATTCTTTACACACACACATTATGCATCTTTTTAAAAAAATTTCTGTTTCAGACAAACAAGATTGGTGTTTTTAGTTGTGGTACACCAGCTATGACACAAGCAGTAGATATAGCTTGTAAAGCGATTAATCTAACAGAAATTAATGATACATTATTTCAACATCATTATAAAAGTTTTTAAAAGTTTCTTTCTGGAAGCCAGCAGATAAAAAATCAGTTGATAAAACATTCGGTGAAGACTTAACAGATTGGTTATTTACTGGATGTTGGGGAGAAAATAATCAACCGAATAATAGATGCTCCCAGTATCGCAATGGAACCGAATATCCCAATTACGATGGATGGTACAATAACGTTGGAAGACCAGAGTTAGGTGCAGTTGACACTCCATTGCTAAGAAGACTGCCAGCCGCTTATGAAGATGGAGTATACAAGCCTTCAGGTTCTAGTAGACCAGAACCATTAGAGATAAGTGAGAAGCTGTTGAGCGGAAAAATTGGATCGAAGTCAAGAACGGGGAGAAACGCTTTACTTGTATTTTTCGGTACGCGAAAATGATTTATATCGCACAGAACTGCTATTAAGATTATATCATGTACTTGCATATTTGCAAATTTATATGGAAATTATAAGAATATCATATATCTACAATAATATGCAATATACAATATGAAAAAAAAAAAAAAATGTTTAGGTCAGCAAGTGGTGGAGGAAATTTTAGATGCTCAAAGAGCGGCGTGTCCACCCGAATATATCAACATAAAGATTCCGGAAAACCATCGATACAGAACTAAACCAGGACACACGGAAATGCCAGTTTTACGCACGCGATACGATCATCGCACCGGTCATTCGCCAAACAATCCTCGTCAACAGGTAACATTTAGTAATGTTCGCCCTAATGTAGTGTTATTCTCATTTTAACGAACGATATTATTATTTTATTACCAAGTATCAATATGTTGCAGCTAAATGAGATCACGCCATTCTTAGATGGTGGATTGATTTACGGTACATCTAAAGCATGGTCCGACGTTTTAAGGACATATAACAGTGGAATATTGCAGGCGGATGGTCAACTCGCATCATCGTACTTCGGTTTATATCCCGATTATAATACCGTCCGATTACCGATGGCCAATCCACCGCCGCCTATTCATCATCATCAATACGTTTCACGGCACTATAGCGAGAGCGTTACCAGATATTTCAGTGAGTAGTAAAACTTTATTCGCGCAAATACAAAATATTAGAATAAACGAGTATTAGAATTTTGTGCCGCAGACGCGTTTAGCGGCGTCCGCTATATGATGATCCTTTGGGGTACATTCGTACTCAATCTTCTCCGAATAAGGCATCGGAACGTCGATACCGGCGCACCGTACTGCGGGTGCGTCGAGCTGAAAGAATACTGGATTCTCCATCACTGTCGCAACAATCTCGGATCCTACTCCGCATCTCGGCCAACCCAGCTCGACAGTCATCAATCGGTGTGTCTTGCCGATCGATTTGAACACGGTGTCCCAATCCAGGGGTCTGAGCGAGCGCAGATTGACAACTTCCGCCTCGATCCCTTGTCCGGCTAATATGTCGGCCGCTTGAAGCGTATACATGTACGCCTGGCCGTGCGTCACCAGAGTGATATGTTTGCCAAGTTTCTCCACCTTGGCTTTGCCAAAAGGTATCTGATAGTCCTTGTCCATAGCTTGATCGGACATGGGAAACTCGAGGTTGTAAAGTAACTCGCTCTCCAGCATGATGACAGGATCGGGATCGCGCACGGCTGCCTTGAGGCAACCCCTGTAATCCTCGCAGGTTGACGGCGACACAACCTTCAAGCCGGGCGCGCTCATGTACCACGCGGCAAAGCACTGAGAATGCTGCGCGGCCAAGCCCTTGGCGTTACCGTTCGGACCGCGAAAGAGAACGGAGACGGGATATCTGCCAGCAGACATGTAGAGATTCTTGGCGGCACCGTTGATGATACGGTCAAAGGCTTGCATAGCGAAATTGAAGGTCATGAACTCGCATATCGGTTTCAAGCCTAGGAGCGCCGCGCCGATCGCTATACCACAGAATCCGGCCTCTGTGATCGGCGTATCGATCATCCGCTTGTCGCCGTACTTCTTCCAGAGACCGCGCGTAATCTTGTAAGCGCCGTCGAACTCGGCAACCTCCTCACCGATAATGAATACCTTCTCATCTCGAGCCAACTCCTCGTCGAGAGCCATATTCAGCGCGTCTCGTACAGTCATTTTCGTGACGGATCTGCGGGGCGTTTTAACGATACAATGATGCGTCGCTCGCAGCATCAATTTATCTCTCAACGGACGAAGAAAATACATCTCGAACGCGAATAAATATTTCGACTCAGTATAATATCTGGCTATTAATACGCAATTTGATACGTATGTTTTAGAGTTGGGAAATCCGCGAGGGAATGAAAATCCGTTTCTGCTGACTTTTGGTATAATATGGTTTAGATGGCACAATTTCGTAGCGTTTCATATTAAACGTCACAATCCAAATTGGTCGAGCGACAAGATTTACAACGAGGCTCGTAAATGGGTGATAGCGACTCAGCAGCACATTGTCGTTAACGAATGGTTGCCTTCGTGGTTGGGAAACAGACTTCCTGCATATAAGGGTAAATAGAAATAGTGCTAGTCAACATATGACAGCGTTGATAAACCCGATAAATGTTCAATGCGAATGTTTGTTTACTTGTAATTTGCATATAATCCTAATTGATAATTTATTCGTTATTTAAAGGTTACAACCCCAATATTGATCCACAGATAGAGCAATTTTTCCAATCGGCCGCTTTTCGTTTCGGACACACTTTGGTTCCACCAGGTAAAAAACGTATCCGATTTTTTATTAATATTAGACAGATACGTACCGTTTCCCCAATGCCTTTATATTAATGACAAGCGAAACCAGTTAAATGAGCAATATCGATTTTCATAGCACAGCTTATCTTTTATTTAATTATAAGGTGATACAAAGAAGAATCGATTTACACTTGTTGATTTGATGAAAGATCATAAACGTGTGTATGTGCGCGCGCGCGCGCGTGTGTGTGTGTGTGTGTGTGTAATGTTGTCATAAATTGTAGAATTGTATAGATGCACAGTAATAATATTAATGATAATCACAATGTCAGGTGTATACTTGCGTAACTATGGGAGGAATAATTGTTCCTTGGAACCACATCCAATTAGAACGTGCAATAATTATTGGATGTCACAGGTATTTTGACAATTATATATATACATGTTTGAAGTTTCGACAAAACGCGCACGTAATAAAGTACGTAAACGATTGTTTAGAATTCTCTCTATGCAAATTTAACGAGAATAAAGGATGTCATTGATGTGGAGAAATTATTAATGGGAATGGCTATTCAATTATGCGAAGAGGAGGATCACAAGATCGTTGAAGATTTGCGAGGTAGTTTATTCGGGCCATTGGAATTCTCAAGAAGAGACTTAATGGCACTTAATATTCAGAGGGGACGTGACCACGGAGTACCCGATTATAACAGCGCTCGTCGTGCGTACGGTCTACCAGAGATTAAAAATGTATCCCATTTTAATCGCGTAGATCAAGCGGTATGTTGTATAAAAATTGTTCATTCATGTATTTAATCACAGCGTTGCAAAATTTAAGACATTTTATTTATTATTATTCAAAAAATTTTTTTATTTAAGATTCGAGATGAATTTCTCAGACTGTACAATAACTCGTTCGATGACGTGGATATCTGGGTGGGTGGGATACTAGAAACTGGCGATGGACCCGGGGAGCTATTTCAAAGTATCATCAGTGATCAATTTCAACGAATACGCGACGGTGATAGGTTTTGGTACCAGAATTTCGACAATAAGTATGTAATTATATCGCTATTGCATATTTCATTATATCTTCTGTACAATTGATTCGGTAAACTTTTGATACAATTTTGTTTCTAGACTTTTTACTTATGAGGAAATTCGAAGATTAGAACAATTATCATTTTATGATATATTGATGTGTGTCACTAAGATGGACTGGAACGATATTCCAAGGAATCCTTTTAGAGTTTCTATAGCAGGTAAAGGAAAAACTACATGCGGAAATGTAAATTTGCTTAATAGTAGCTAATGATACCACTAAATACATTTGTATCTTCTTTCAGTGGATGATATACATCCCAGTTGTATTAATAATAAAATTGTTAAAGAAGGCAATTGCACAACTGGTTCTTGTTTTCACGCTGATCAAATAAATAAATATACAATCGAAAATTGCACAGAACCTGGGACTTATGATTTTTTTTCCAATAGCAGCATATCCTTCATTCTTACGTTTTTAGGTGTATCAACATTTTTCTGCGGTAAAAATTTTTTACTATCATTGAAACATTATGCAACAACATGGGCATTATACTATCTATCTAACGTGTTAATTTTGATACAGGTATCATTACATTAATAGTTTTTAAGATACAATTTAAGGATAAGGGACCAATGCAAGAAATTGTTAAAAAAGTAGACCATAGTGATAATATAGACATTATACATACTGGTAAGACTTTTCAGATATATGCATGTCTTTATGTCTTTATATATTGCATACATGTAGTATAACAAAAATATATTCCTTTATTAATAGCTAGCGAATGGCAAGAACCAAAAGCTGCACTTAGACGTGTAATATTAATGCCAAACATCAGAAAAAAGCAACTGGAAGTGAAAAATCAATTGGGACATTTGATACGTGCAATCGACGTTCCAACCAATAGCAATGTCATGGTATATATTTTTCTAACACATGTCAATTATCGTTTACTGCATAAGAGCACATAAAATAATTGATAAGTATATAATAAAATGTATCAAATTTTTCTTGTACAGATTTATTGCGCGTCTGATAGTCACTATATTTTAATCCGTATACATCATAGTTATGATTTAGTGTTGAAGTTTGACTCCGATTTTTTGAGAAGCACATTTATAAAAGCATTCGAAAGATTTATATCAGATATTGCAACATCCGGGAATGTTTGTTCAATGCAAGTTATGACTAATACCACATATGCAGCGTTACTCAAGCAAGCAATAACTAAAAAGCATCGTCAAAAGAAATTGGAAATGTTTTTCCGTGTCGTATTCGCACAGGTGTGTCTTTCTTTCTTGTCTTGTGAAATATTCGAATAATATTGAATAATAATTCGATTATATAAGTATATCCACAACTGTGTGTCTTTAGGCATTCCATATTGCACATACGGAAGAAGAAATTCTACAAATAGATTCGTCAGTTGCAAGAGAAGTGATTTATACCGAGCTAACCATCGTAGAATTCGCGGAAGCCCTGAGTATGAAGCCGGACGCTGAATTCGTAAAAAAGGTAATATTTACATTAAATCTGATAAGTAATATGCAAATATGCAATACAAATATATTTGTTGAAAGATTATACATATCAACACATTTGCAGATATTTAATCTAGTGGATAAAGATAAGAACGGTTTTATATCATTTCGAGAGTTTGTTGACATGTTGGTGATATTTCTAAAGGGCTCTGCGGAAGAAAAAATGAAGTTAATGTTTGATATGTATGATATCAATGGTATAGGAAGACTTAAAAGAGAAGAGTTCTCAGCTATGTTGAGGTATATTTTTAAATTATCCAATTGCATGGCACACACTATCCTGTGCGTAGTGCCTTCGTATATGCGTTACATTAAATACTTGCAGATCATTCATGGAAACTAGCAATGCCGATATAACGGACGATGAGTTGGAAGCTTTGGTGCAATCCATGATGTATCACGCCGACTTGGCAAACAAAGAAACTATAAATTTACAGGATTTTCAGCAGATACTAAGCGACTTTAATGATAAATTTAATTATGCAGAACTGGAGTTCAATGTGCCTGCGGATGGAAAGAGCAACAGAAAACTTCACGCAGGCGTAAAAACTGTTAGATCAACATTTATCGGCGAAGTACAGAAGACGGTAGAGAGTCTATATGCCGATCCAAGCGAATTACAATACAGAATTGAGGGAAAAATCAAAAGTGAACAAAATGCGAAAAAGGAAAAAAATAATAGCGAAATTATCGACAAGAACGAGAAAATTGTCGAAGAGCTCAAGAAACACTCGGACAATTATTGGTATCCTGTAATGAAATACCTCGCTAACAAACGATTGCAAATATTCTGGGCATGTTTATACACCCTGTTTCTGCTTGGGATTTTCGCAGAGCGAGTATATTGTATGTTCTTTTCAAAGATTTTTTTACAGTAGACATCTATCTGACTTTAATTTTTGCACTTTATAATGATTAATACTGCTCTCTTTTATACATAGATTACTCTATACAACGAGAACATTCTGGTTTGAGACGAATATTAGGCTATGGTCTTACTATAACGAGAGGTGCGGCATCCGCTATGATGTTTACTTATTCCACATTATTAATCATGATGTGCCATAACACCATCACTGTTCTGAGAACCACAATTTTGCAATTTTATATTCCTTTCGATTCAGCGATAGAAATGCACAAATATATCGCTTGTTGGGCATTGGTCTTTACTGGTGAGAATATAAAATGTCTTAATCTTAATTTAAACAATGTATAAAATTTGTTAACAACTTAATTAAGATAACTCATTCGAGAAAGAGAGAGTTTTTTAACAAATTATACTTATGTTTACTCACATCTTAATATTTTTAGTGTTACATATAATTGGACACGGCTTTAATTTTTATCATATATCAACGCAAACTGCTGATGATCTGACATGTTTATTTCGCAACTATTTCCACGCGTAAGTCTACATCTCCTTCCTTAGATATTTCAATCACTCGATTTTAAGATATTTAAATACATATTTATTCGCATTTACATATGTGCATCATTATATTATACATAATTATATTCACATTTAGAACGCATGAGCTACCAAAGTTTCATTATTGGTGTTGGGGTACAATGACAGGTGTAACAGGAATATTTTTAACCATTGTTACTGGATTAATATTTGTGTGCTCTTTGCCGATGGTACGCAAGTCATTCTATAATTGGTTCTCTCTTATACACTCTTTATATCCAATTTTCTACATACTGATGATCTTACATGGCAGTGGAAGATTAGTACAAGTAATTAATATTGTTATATATAATTATCAATTATTTTTATATAAAACGATAGTTCATTTAGTGTGTTATCGAGAAAAAAAAATAACTTACCTAAAATCATATTATATAATTGAAAATTATTTGTAATTTATTACAATAGGAACCATATTTCCATTATTTCTTATTGGGACCAGTTATTTTATTTATTCTCGATAAAGTCGTAACTGTGACCAGAATAACGATAGAGATACCAATACTCAAAGCAGAAATTCTGCCATCAGGTATTCCTTTTTGAAAATATTATTGTTCTATTATTGTATTTATTCTTATTCAAGTCTATATTATTCAAGTATATATCATTCATATACATATGTTGTATAGGTGTAACATGTATAACATTTCCAAAACCTTTAAATTTTCAATATAAATCTGGTCAGTGGATTAGAATAGCATGTCCAGCATTACAGACAAATGAGTATCATCCATTTACTTTATCGTCTGCGCCACATGAAACGAGTTTAAGTATACATGTACGAGCAGTTGGACCATGGACTACAAATATTAGAGAGAAATTAGAGTTGTATACAATGTCTAATGAAACTTTACCAATGGTAAGTCTCTTCATATCACTATACTTGTCTGAAATTCTATATTTTTATATATAGAATTCACAAAATTTTTACTAATGAAATAAATTTTTCATATATTACTATACATCTGTCTATTTGTAGATTCACATGGATGGCCCATATGGGGAAGGTCATCAAGATTGGGATAAATATGAAGTGGCAATCATGGTTGGTAGTGGTATAGGTGTTACACCTTTTGCATCAATACTCAAAGACATTGTTTTTAAATCAAACTATAATTCAAACTTTGGTTGCAAAAAGGTAATAACATTAACAACTCTGTTCAAACTTAAATAATAAAAAAAAAAAAAAGGGGGGAAAAAAACGTATGTATAAAAATATTTTAATTTGCAGGTATATTTTGTTTGGGTAACAAGAACACAAAAACAATTTGAATGGATGGTTGACATATTGAGAGAGCTTGAAAAAGCAGATATCAATAACACAGTATCAATTCATATTTTTGTTACTCAGTTTTATCAAAAATTTGATCTACGTACGATACTTTTAGTAAGATATCTACATTTAAATGTTATCGTATTTTAATTTAAAAAACTTTGGTCCTAAAAGATCTCCAACTAAATATGATTTTCAGTATATTTGTGAACGTCATTTTCAAAAGATTTCAAACAAATCTTTATTTACTGGACTGAAAGCAGTGACACATTTCGGACGCCCGAAATTCTCTCAATTTTTCCTGTCTATACAAAAATTATACCCTACTGTAAGTATCTACTGATTATCAATGTGGATAATGTTTCATACTAATTGCATAATTTTTTTAATCAACATTATATTATATTGTGCTTTAAATTCTTTACACACACACATTATGCATCTTTTTAAAAAAATTTCTGTTTCAGACAAACAAGATTGGTGTTTTTAGTTGTGGTACACCAGCTATGACACAAGCAGTAGATATAGCTTGTAAAGCGATTAATCTAACAGAAATTAATGATACATTATTTCAACATCATTATAAAAGTTTTTAAAAGTTTCTTTCTGGAATATAAAATTTTAATTTTGGTAAATTCAATTGTTTCATAATAATCATAATTTTAATAATTCCTTATTTTTTTACTTGTATATTTCTCTAATGAGTTATGTTCTTGTAAAAAAATTGTATGGAAAGATAAACTCTATACATTGTTATATATTTGCATAAATGTTAAAATTACAGAAGATTATAAGTCCGTAATTATATTTTCTTAATTAATAGAAATTATCACTGTTGTGTCATAGTAAATATTAATAAAATTGGTTATACTATTAATAACAATGATTACAAGTTATTAAATTAATTCACATAATATATCTTTTATAAGAGACTAAATATATAAATACACATAATACTCACGAATATATATACGGACAGAGAGGAATATTTTACAGTTTCTTCATAAATGTGATCCTAACATCACATCGACCCATCAATCTAACGCCGGTAAAATTCCCGCCATTCTGTTGCCATTATATGCTAAAATCAATCAAAAAAATAAATGTAAAACCTTTGTTTTTACGCAAAGAGATATCGAATAAGCGTATTTTTAAATATAAGTAAAATACTATAAGTTAAATTACATTTACCGATAACTCTGCTCGATAAAAAAATTCAACTAAATTGATCCAATATATTGAAGTTGTTATCCGATTGTTACAAGCAAAGAGAACTGGAGATTGAAAATGCTTCTGCCTTCTGCCTCTACGTCCATATAAAACATGGATAATAAACTACATAGTCGCGAAACTTGTTAGTGAATAACATGCTATGGCCGGTAATCATAGTCCGTTCTTATATCCAAGATCGTCTTAAGGGTCGGCAGGAGTGACGGCCAAACTCCGAATTGATATTGGAGACCTCGCGCGGTGACAATGCGAAACTCCGACTTCAGGATTACCAATCTGAGAAATAAATTCTCGATTTCTATGTAGAGGTGTATGTCCATATACGTACACACACGATTGAATTGCTCGCGTGGACGCACCGTGGAGAGGAAAGATAGAAAAGGATCAACGATCACGTTATCCTTGTTCCTCTAGCGTATCGCTTTATAGCCGAGATACGGCCTGAAAATGCTTTTTGGCCTCTCGTGACAAAAAACAGTAATGCAACTAGGCTAACAAGCGCCCACTTTTTGTAAATTTTATATTTGTTTATGCACATTTATGCGTATATATATGTATCAATAATATCTAAAAATTATATATATGATTAAAAATTGTATGACGATAAATAATAACAGTAAAATAATAACTCACAGAGTGAACTAATATACAATATGTAAAACACGGGCACTTATTAGACTTGGCAATTTATTGCTTTTCTACTTGTTGCTTTTTCATCGGTACTTTATGTATTGTCAGCATGATAGAGCGACAAGGAGAGAACAATTGTTAATTCTTGGCTTACATTATCTTTCAGTAATTGCAAATTTATAGACCGACAAGTATGCTATCTTGATTTCTTTTCGATTATATCGATATTATCGCGTAAAAATATCTGCTACATAAATACTGATAATATGAAAGCATGTACAAGAAATATGTGATGGCTCAGTGCAAGAGTGTTCAATCTATCACGCAGTAAAACTCAAGTTCAATTCCACAGACATCTTAACAAAATTTTTTTATATTTTTTGTTATATAAACGTTATTACATTTTGTGTGAGAATTATATTTAGAATACATCTTTACCCCCACTCTTTAAATAAAGGCAAACGCTCGGTCTAGATATACTATGTCTATGAGAGTAGCATTTGCTTGACCAATCAAACAAAGGAAGACACAAGGAGCAAAGATCTCTTTTGGCTCCAGAGTACCGATCATGTAACTTTTCCCTTAGGGCGGAAAAGTGAAAAATTTTGCCATTAATTTCAATGCTAATATTTTTCACTTTTCACATTTCCGCCCTAGGGGAAAAGTTACATGATCGATACCCTGCACACAGGATGCGGAAATGCTTGCCACGCCGCAAAAGGCGACTCGTAGCCAATCAATTTTTCACTCTAATGGAAAAGTTGTAAGTTGATTAGCTACCGCGTCGCTTTTTGCCGCGCGGCAAGCATTTCCCCGTCCTATGTGCAGAAGCCATTTCTCCTGATTGGTTAATCAAATGCTATTTTATTCTCACTTTAAGCCCGAATCACACTAGCGGCTCGCGGCTGCGATTGCGATTGCCTCAGCCAATCAGAAAGCACCAATTGCAAATATGATTGGAGCGTAGCAAATCACAATTACAAACGCAATCGCAATCGCAGCCGCGAGCCGCTAGTGTGATTCGGGCTTAAAGTGAGAATAAAATAGCATTTGATTAACCAATCAGGAGAAATGGCTTCTGCACATAGGACGGGGAAATGCTTGCCGCGCGGCAAAAAGCGACGCGGTAGCTAATCAACTTACAACTTTTCCATTAGAGTGAAAAATTGATTGGCTACGAGTCGCCTTTTGCGGCGTGGCAAGCATTTCCGCATCCTGTGTGCAGGGTATCGATCATGTAACTTTTCCCCTAGGGCGGAAATGTGAAAAGTGAAAAATATTAGCATTGAAATTAATGGCAAAATTTTTCACTTTTCCGCCCTAAGGGAAAAGTTACATGATCGGTACTCTGGAGCCAAAAGAGATCTTTGCTCCTTGTGTCTTCCTTTGTTTGATTGGTCAAGCAAATGCTACTCTCATAGACATAGTATATCTAGACCGAGTGTTGAGGAGTGGGAGCCGAGGTGCACGTAGAAAAGGACATACTCTGTTTCGTGCCCCTTGCGTTCTCTCTCGCTCGCACGTAGCATGATGAAAGAGAGCGCTATGCTCTGTGCGAGCGAGAGAGAACGCAAGGGGCACGAAACAGAGTATGTCCTTTTCTACGTGTATCTTTACCCCCACTCCTTAAATAAAGGCAAACGCTCGGTCTAGATATACTATGTCTATGGCTACTCTACTTCGCGAGTAAATTTTCGAACGCAATCCAACTCGTTGTATATCAAATGTCCCTAAAGCCCGTATCAGACTACGCATTGAAGATTAAAATTTGACCAATCAGGACAAAGAAATTTTAGTTCCTTTTGTTCTGATTAGTCAAATTCCAATCTTTAATCTTCAATTTTCAATGCGTAGTTTGATACGGGCTTAAACAGCTTTCCTCACAATTGGCCAATCTATAGTGTATGTACGTAACGCAAATTATACGTTTTCAGAACGCAGCCGTACACTGTACACTATACACGCGTTCATCCCTTCGATCTGTTTTGCTACACTACAGTAGTTCAATGGTTTGTGATTTGTGGTTTGTACAGTTCGCATGCTTCATTTATCATTTAGCCACATTTAGCCTAATTTAGCTTCTACCGATTGAATTTTAGTACGGTGAAACATATTTACAGTTTGTCAAGATGCAGGTACCGCCAATTTTCATGGAATTGCCGTTAGACGATCAGGTAAATATGCAAAATTCAATAACGCATGTCGTTATCGTTAGTATCCTTAGATATTTTTTGTCAATATATATTGTAAAAGCAGAGTTGGGAAGTAACGCATTATTTGTAATGTCGTTACTGTTGCTCTTCTTCAATTAACTTTCATATAAAGCAATTTTTTTTCAAAATCATGTGTATAAAACATATTTCTTGTATGTAACATCTTATAGATGATTTCAAAACATAAGAGATAAATGTTACAAGTTATTAATTTTTAATAAACTACGATCAAGTAATTTAAAAAATCAGCGATTGCAACAGTTTCTATTCAGTATATACAAAAATATTAATATGTATATTGTGCATACTAATTTTATTGAATATTATTATCAGGCGCAAGAACTGAGGGTATATTTTAAAAGCCTTGGTGCAGAAATTAGTGAAGAGAAATCCCCCAAAGGTATAGAGGACGATTTGCACAAGATCATTGGAGTATGTGAAGCATGTTTTAAAGAAGGAAATGAAAATGAGATAGAAACTGTATTGAATGACATTGTTTCTATCATGATTTTGGTAAGTTTGGCATACTTGATGCTTTATTGTCATACAAAATAGATATTTGTGCAATTTCTCTTTATTTGCATTGAGATATATTATTTCAGATACCTACGGAACGCGCAGAAAATTTAATTTTAGCATTCTGTGAAAAACTTGTAAAAGCACCTGGATACAAGCTTGGATTAGTTTGCTTAAAAGCGTAATATATCTTTTATACTTACAATTCATTTTAATATAACAAGTGATTTAATATATTAACAAATGGTATATGTTTACAGATTATGGCTGCTATTTCAATCTCTTGCCGATGATTCTCCAATGAGATATCATGTTTATTACCATTTGGTGCAAATAGCTCGCAATGTTGACCAAGTAAAAGCTGTGTACAGTGGAATAGATCAATTGAAGCAACAGTTTGCTTCTTTTCCACCATCGAATGAACAAATGCAGAAATTACTGCGTTTATTACACGAAGTTCTTTTAAGTTGCAAACAAGGGTAATTATCTTCATCTATATTTTATCCTGTTTGATATAAAAGATATATCTGGTTCTTAAAAAAAAAAAGTTTTCTCTCGTCAGTCGTGTGGTATGGATATTTTTTAACCCTTTATCCGTCTAAATATTCCATCCTTTATTCGTATTGCAAACTCAATCTGGCGTTATTTTTTTCTTTAGAGATATTATATATATAGAAAATTATTTTTGTAACATTTTATGAAAAGCGTCCTTATAGCGTATAGAATAATGCTTGATGACATTAGTTATGTTCAACAATGTAATATTTTTTTTTTAAAAAAAAAAAAAAAAAAAAAAAAATTATCTGAATAAAAAGGTATTTATTAGATACACATTTAGCATAAAATATATGTACATAATCCTTTTTAGAGAACAAGCAGCAGCTGTCATGGTAGAACTGTTGGGAACTTATACAGCAGAAAATGCTTCTGCAGCAAGAGAAGATGCACAACGTTGTATATTAGCTGCATTAGCAGATCCTAATACATTTTTACTGGATCCACTGTTGGCTTTAAAACCTGTGAGATTTTTAGAAGGCGAATTGATACACGATTTACTTCTTGTGTTTGTGCAAGATAAATTGCCAGCATATTTACATTTTTACCAACATCACAGAGAATTTGTTGAGCATCAACTTGGTACATGCTGATTTATATTGTTAAAAATATTAAATTAATTTAAATATTAAGATTCGTTGTGCGTCTTTCCTTTTCTTTTATAGGATTAAACCATGAGCAAAACATGAAGAAGATGAGACTGTTAACTTTTATGCAACTCGCAGAAACAAATCCAGAAATGTCATTTGATACAATACAAGAAGAATTGCAGATTAATGAATCTGAAGTAGAAAGTTTCATAATTGATGGTAAACTATCTCTCTGCTACTTGATTATCGTACATTTATTATTTTAATATTTGTAGAAAATATATTTTTTTGTTATAAATGATAATTGTGTCCTGTCTACATAACAATTTCCACTAGTGATTCATTCAAGTGGCAATTTACTTTAAACAGGGCATATTAAATGAATCTGTACTGGCTTGGTAAAATTGTATTTTTACTGAGTTATTGAGACATTCAACAATTTGTTGTTTAATGTAAAAGGAATACAAAACTGTACAATCGCATTAAATTTTTTCTCGCGTGATATAAATAATACTATAATTATTGTGTTTCAGTTTTAAAAACCAAACTTGTAAGAGCGCGCATGGATCAGGCTGGCCGCAAAGTATTAATTTCTAGCACAATGCACAGAACGTTTGGTCGTCCACAATGGATGCAGTTGCGAGATCTACTTGTATCATGGAAAGCTAATCTTTCGGCTGTACAGGATGGCATGAAGACTGTAGCTACTGCACAAATAGAGCTTGCAGCAAAAAATAAAGCTACTCTTGCTCACTGACAGTACCGTAAAATTCCACAGGTGGGTGGTACACAAAATGATATATAATTATATAATCGTACATACATAAATACATAAATTTGAATTGGAAGTTGAAAATCTTTTTCCGATATATATTAAAAAATTTTATACGATTATCTTGTCAAATCTAATTGTCAAGTGAAGTAAATAAAAATTAATAGAGATAACTTATGCTGCAGTATTACATTCATATCTGAAGAGTTATATAGCGAATCTGCTACATATATAATGGACATTTTTTTATAAAATTTTATTAAAATATAAAAAAAATCTATGATATAAAAAAAATCTAGACTCGTTAATTATTTCGTATTGTTTCTTGTGTCAAATTATATCTGCAAGATAAATAATGTAAGCTTATGAAAACTAAACTTTTCACAATGTGCAAAATATATCAAAAATTGGTAGTACAATTTTGATATTTTTAGTATGTTCTTCATGCACATTTAACTTTTTATTGTTCAATCAATAATAGTTTATACAATAATTAATCAGTATAATAATGTGACCATAATTTATTTGTAAGATAAATAATGTGTGCGTATACATGTATGTGTATACATATTATTTATTTCTTTATCTTACTAAAATAAATTATGGTTATATTGTTATATTGATTAATTATTATATAAACTATTATCGATTGAAAAATTACAAAAAAAATTAGATTAGGATTTACATTATATTTAAAATGGCTTTATTAACTATTAAAGATATCTTTAATGGTTAATATGTAAAGATATATATAACACAATCCTAATCAAATTAAGATAATTCCACAAAAAAATATAAAAATTTATGTTACACTATAATTGCAATTTTTTCCTGGATGTACAGGAAAAATATATCAGAATATATATATATATTACATCTTTTTAAATTTCTTTACAAGTAATATTTTTAAAAATGTGTTCCATGAAAAATAAACTTAAATTGATAATATACCTTCTTGAATATATGTGTGTGTGTGTGTGTGAATAAATGTATGTGTATGTCATGTAATGTTCATATAATAGTGTAAATACATGAAATACCTCGCTTCACTTTTGCTAAAAACAGGATATTGCTGTATTTTACATCAATTATAAAAAAAAGTTTTTTTTTTGCACAGCATAATTTTAAACTTAATATTATTTAATCATTTAATTTAAAAAATGTGTATTAAATTGCAGACAAAAAATATTAGCTATTTTATAATAAAATAAGTAATGTCATCAGAGAAAAACTAACATCATTTTTAACAATGAATTGTTTTAAATCTTAATTTCTATGTAAGAAATTACATGAGGAATCTAAATCTTTCTGCTATTATATATAATTATAATTACAACACTATTACTACTTGCACTATGTCTCTTCTCATATACTTGCAAATTATAATAATTATACAATTCTCTTTATAAAGTATTTGTATTTTTATATGCATAATTGACACCATTTCTGCATTTATCAATAGTGCTTTAATTTTCAAAACACAATAAGAAAAAATATATTGCTGTAAAATGCTTATAACAATATAAACATTATAAACATTAGCAATGCAATATATAGTGGAATATAATTATTTATTATAAATTACTGCACTATATAAGTTAAATATAGCCTTTAAGTTGCAACATGAAGTAATGATAATAATAAAATTCAGTCTGCTGTATATAGTACATAAACAAACACACTAAAAAGCAAATTTATGTATTGGAATAAATGATAAAATTCTAAGTTGTTGTAAGCGCATTTAGATTTTTAAATGCACGTTTTTTCCCTATCTATTAGATACAAATCATTTTCACATCTATAAGTATAGCTTCCAGTTTAGATAAAAAGTATTTTTTTCTAATAAATTTGCATCATCATAGTAAATTTAGGTCTAACCAAAACTGTTAAGGCATATAATCTCGAATTTCTACAAAATACAAATAGAGTGTTCTGTACCTCTGCAGAACCAATCACATTTATTCCAAGTGTGTATACATAAACCTCTTGTAATCTTTGTATGAAAGACAAATGACGGATGATAGAGACCATGATATATTGTATCAAAAACACTAAAAAGTGTCGAGTGGATCTTCTCTTTCATCATATATGACAAGTCAGATCTGCGTAGAAAACCTGGGACGTGGTAAGTCTCCAAACACTGTATCACCATGGACGCTTTTAGCTAAGGCTTTAATTGAAGCTCGAATATTATGCGGATCTAATGGATCGGTTGGCAACTGTAATTTTATATATATATATAATTTTTTAATAATATATATATATGTCAAGTCTCTTAAGTAAATTTCAATCAAAAAACAATAACAAAAAGAAACGAAAAATACAAGTGTCCCTAATACAATTGCAGAAATTAAAGATTTTATAAAACTTCACCTGATCATCATTTTGGTCCTGTACTGCACGACGAACGATAGATGGAAAAGCAGGTACGGTGACTGGTAGTGATTTAGCCAAGGTGGAGTGACCATCTCGTTGACCTCTTGGCATATGAATCCCTTCATTTTGGCTTGAATCTGAACAAGTAACTATAGTGACCTAAATCTATATAAATTATTGCTATGTAATATATCATACCATCGGTATCGGATCCCTCTTCCGAAGACCACTGATGTAATTGATTAGCTGCATCTGTATCTTCTATTCCCTCGAAAGGAAACAACGCTTCTGTATCGAAACTAGCTGATTCTTTAGTACAAATATACAATGGATTTTTCTTTTTTGTATTTTCATTCTGCAAAATTTATTATCGAAGCATATGAATAATTATAATAATGGGACATTATAAATAAATCAAGTAGTGTGTAAGAAAATTTAAGACGGCAAAAGTGACTTACATTAGTAGAACTTTTAGAAGAGTGTTTAGTAGTTATCTCATGTTTAATGTTTGAATCAGTGGAAATTTTCATATCATTGAATACTAAATTGGACTTGGGATTAACTGTATTAGCTGTAGAGGTAGTTAAAGTATTCTTAAAGTTGTCAGAAATCATTGGTGAAGTCTCTATATCATTGGTTATCCTATTTGTTTCTTCTCTTCTACACACTAATCTAATTATGAACAAACAAAACACACACGATTATTATTACAACAACAATAGTGTGTTGTAATTTGCAAAATAATTTACTGTTAAAGATAATACTTTGATAACAATCGATGTTCGTTGTGCGCTCTTTCACGAAATTGTTCCAATAGCCGATATTGCTCTGCAGAAAACGCACATATTTTCTCTTCTATTGCTACTGTTTGACGTTGTACAGCTTCCTCCAATTGTTGTTGCAGTCCACCTAGGGCCACTTGAACCGTGTTAGGTAACTGTGAAACTAGATAGGTGTAAAAGAAAATGCAATATATAGAATATTTAGAGATCATATTTTAGTAGATTATTTTGAAATACAATAAAATTAGAAGTTGTATGTGTCACACATATTACACATTCATTTACTTACCAGAAAATTTATTAGGTTGTTGCAGATAGTCGTCAAGATCTTCCAAATTGTGATTAATTACTATCCTAAACACTGAGCTGTAATCTGGATTTGACTTTAATTTATTTATTTCTTCAGGAGATAACTGAAACAGAAGAGAAACATATATAATACTATTTGATTAAACTTCCCTTAAAGTTTTAATTAAAAGGAGACTAGAGAAGGACATTTGATGTTTTTTTAAATTATTTATGCAAATAGTAAGTGTATCTGTGTCATTATAATCTCTGCAAAAATAATTATCCTTGATAAAATTGACTACTCAATTTATCAAGTTGTATATTGTTCATGGTGTTACATCTTAAAAAGTGCTACGTAACATAATAAACACATCTACTATATTAAATAATTGCATTAAATAATACTTACAATTAAATAATTTATATACATTAAATAGTACTTACAATAAAGTATTTGATCAATAAATATGCTACCTATTAAATAGATTGCTGTGTTTTCAACAGTAAATAAATAGATATAACAAGCTAGTGCATCAATAGATAAATTATCTATATAACACATATTTAAAAGGGATTTTGGTCAACTTGTGAACTACTATATTGCAAATGAATATCTTTTGTGATATGCCTGAAACTTACAACGATATTGCTATTAATAAGGACTAAAGCAGCACCATGTTCCCTATGGACAGCATGAGTATAAATTGAGCAATTATAACAACGATGTATGATCCATGATCCAATATTTCTTATTTCCACTAAGCCAGGTTGTTCTTTAGTAATAGTTTCCAGTTCCGGTACACTGGCTAGATCCTGTATAAAAGATAAAATCTATGTTTACAAAATTTTAATGTATAATAATATATGTAATTTTAATTGTTCTATTGCAATTATGATTAAGCAATATATTGACTCTCTATAGCAATATAATTGTTTTCTTGTAGATTTTACTTTGAAAAGAATAAGGAAAAATACAGAAGGCCTCAAGCCTCCTTAAGGAAGACACAAAGAAAGATTATCGATCAAAGCTTTCTAATGATTAATACACTTACATACAAGTGTTACATAAAACATTTCGCATGCAATAATCGTGAAAAAATATACAAAAGATGGAAAACAATGCGACAAACGTCGAACATAAAAGATATGATGAACGTGAGGATCGCAGCGTCGAGTTATTATCGTTCGTGTTAATTTACGTAAGGAAAAGATTTTTCTTTATTCACAAAATGGAAAAATGAACTTCAAGTTCATACCAGTCTTCATCAATCATACTTTGTCGTAAAAGATATGAGTAGAAGAAAGAAACGAATAACGACGTGAACTGGCAAAACATTCGCGAATCTCAAACATTTCTTTTTCTTTTTTCTTGTGTTCTTTAAAAAATGTACTTTCTCGCGAAAATTTTCAATCCTATTCACCTCGCGAAAGAAGGCATCGGTGCGCTCCAGATCGGTCATCTCGACGTTATCGATATTAAGCCGCTGCAGTTCGGTACTCCTGGATCTAATGGACACGTTCAGGCACTTGCAGGTGATGTGCATCTTTCGACTAGGCAAGGAGAATGAGCAAAGAGAGGAGAGCGCTTCTTTTCTTTTTTCAGAGATCGGAATTGCGCAGTCCGCCACCGTGATCCATGCACTCGCACCACTCGATCGGAATCTCGGCAAATTATCCCTTTTTTCTCTCCTTTCGAATTTGTCTTTGAAGATTCTTGATCAAACTACTGAAAACAGCTGATGTCTCGCTCACATAGAAGCGTAGAATGCCGAAGCCGAACTGCCAAAGCGGCTATCGCGCTCTCGCTCTCGTTCTCGTTCTCGTTCTACTCGGGTCTCGGTCTCGGGTCTTCGACGACTGTCGACGATTAATACGGCCGATTTTCCGAAAGAGACGCAGAATAAAAAAGAATAGGAAAACGATTAATGAGATGACGAGTTACTGATGCTGTCGGTCTCGTGCGATCGTCCGTTTGGAAAAGCTGCCGTTTCGCAAACGATCAATATAGCCAAGAAGATGAGTCTCAGGCCTCAGTTTCTAGCGATCGTACGTGCTACAAACATACAATGGACAAACTGGACCGCCGATTATTGGCGAAGAGAGCTCGCAGAACATGTGTAATGTGTAATATATCTCGCAGAGATATGAGAATAGTCGAATCGCGAAAGTCTCTCGCATACCCCTTTCCTTCGTTTATTGCCGCTCTGTTTACAATGTTTACTTTCACTTGTATGTTTACATCGAACTTTGGAAGCGGCGCACGTCGGAATTCGGAATATGTTGCGCGAGTGGCGAGTGGCGAGAAGCGACTGTGGCCTGTGGTGAGTATCGTATAGTCGTATGATATGATATGATCGCTCGCGGCTCGTCGTCGTCGTCGGTCGATCCTGTTGCCTCTTGCCTCTTGCCTCTTGCCTCTTGCTTGTGATGTGTATTTTGTATGTACAAGTAGCGAGTAGCGACACGGTCGAACGGCAAGGCGAAGGCGGGAAGGAGGAAACAGGAGGGAAGGCGAGAGTGTTTATGAAAATTTTGGGCGACCCAGAGCCAGAGCCAGAGCGAGAAGCGAGAGCGAGGCTAAAAATAAATGCGATTTATAGACGTGCGCAAGTGCGCAGTGACGACGATCATACAGCCGAACAAAAGCGCACTCGCTAGTCAATTAATCGACTAAAAAGTGCAATAGAGACGAGGACAACGTTGTCCGGATATATAATATTAAAAGTCTATCTATTTACGTTACGTATATTATAGATTTTCTGTACTGACAATGTATTACGGTGTATATCGGAGCATAACCAAAGAACAGCTTCGATTGATATAAATCTACTATTTTCAACTGCACTTTCCTTCCTCTCTCCTTGCCAAAGCTTGAACGCAACACCTGTTTCCCTTTAAATGCAGCTGAAAAGAATAAATTTACGCATTTGATCGCGTCTTCTTTACGTCTCATTTCCTTGACAAATCCTTGTTGATACTGAAATTTCATATTTATTTTGCCTTAAATGTGTAAAAAAGAAAGAATAACTATTCGAAGAGGAACCTCTAATATATATAATGTATTAGATCTAGCTACACCTTTTGCATCTGCACATTTGATTTTTTTATGCATTTAAATCTTATATCTATAGCATTTAATTTAAATGTAAAACATGTAAAAAGCAAGAAGGAAATGCGAGATTTAAAAAAAAAAATGAATTTAAATATGAAAATAAATTTATTAACTTTAAGAATAACCGGTAAGATTATGTTGACTTGTGAGGCTATAATGGCCTTGAAAAGTGATATTTGTGAGATTCATTAAATACCTGTTATCGTGCTCATGTTTTATGTGTTTGATTGTCTATGAATAGAATATTTATCTTTATGAAAGAATTTTTGCAGCGCATTTACTTTTGCGTGTATATAGTCGCTAAATTTACGCTATTTTTATTACTACTATTAAAACAGGAATTTTACACTTATATCTTTGTAATCTGTAGTTTACAGAGAGAATATCTCGATAAGAAAGGATTAAGCCAAGTTGTCGCGACATTGATAAATTGATGAATTTGATAACGATAAACGTGAGATATATATATGGAGTTTTAAAATCAACTGTATATATTCTATTGACAGATACTACAGAATTATCATAAAGAACAATCTTGTACCAATAATCTGAATCGACTGATATTCTGGCAATTCAACTGTCTTCATACATTTCTATGCTTACCAATGATATAAAGAAAATTTAATATTAAGCGCAGAACTAATAAAGTCAAACTAATTAATCTTATGCTTATTTTAATGGTATTTTATATAATGATTTACTATATTTATTTTATTATGCAACCATAAATGCATTTATTATATACATTATATTTATTACAATTCTAGTACCAATAAAATAGTTGTGTAAATGTATAGTGATTACAACATTATTCATATTTACATACAGTACCCATGTCAAAAAAATGTAAAATCTATACATATATATAATACATACGTGTCAACAAGTTAATTACATTTGGAGAGAGTATTAAAAAATACTTTTACTGGAATTAAAGTTTTAAAAAATGCTTTTACTGGAATGAGTGTTTTAAAAAATGTCATTTTTATTCGTCGTACTCCATTTTTAATTTGGAGGTTTCTTCCTTCAACTTGAAATATTCATTAAAACGTGTTGCAGCATATCTGAAAATAATTCGAAAAACATTGATAATTACAGAAAAAAAAAATTATATATATCGAATCGCGAAAGTCTCTCGCATACCCCTTTCCTTCGTTTATTGCCGCTCTGTTTACAATGTTTACTTTCACTTGTATGTTTACATCGAACTTTGGAAGCGGCGCACGTCGGAATTCGGAATATGTTGCGCGAGTGGCGAGTGGCGAGAAGCGACTGTGGCCTGTGGTGAGTATCGTATAGTCGTATGATATGATATGATCGCTCGCGGCTCGTCGTCGTCGTCGGTCGATCCTGTTGCCTCTTGCCTCTTGCCTCTTGCCTCTTGCTTGTGATGTGTATTTTGTATGTACAAGTAGCGAGTAGCGACACGGTCGAACGGCAAGGCGAAGGCGGGAAGGAGGAAACAGGAGGGAAGGCGAGAGTGTTTATGAAAATTTTGGGCGACCCAGAGCCAGAGCCAGAGCGAGAAGCGAGAGCGAGGCTAAAAATAAATGCGATTTATAGACGTGCGCAAGTGCGCAGTGACGACGATCATACAGCCGAACAAAAGCGCACTCGCTAGTCAATTAATCGACTAAAAAGTGCAATAGAGACGAGGACAACGTTGTCCGGATATATAATATTAAAAGTCTATCTATTTACGTTACGTATATTATAGATTTTCTGTACTGACAATGTATTACGGTGTATATCGGAGCATAACCAAAGAACAGCTTCGATTGATATAAATCTACTATTTTCAACTGCACTTTCCTTCCTCTCTCCTTGCCAAAGCTTGAACGCAACACCTGTTTCCCTTTAAATGCAGCTGAAAAGAATAAATTTACGCATTTGATCGCGTCTTCTTTACGTCTCATTTCCTTGACAAATCCTTGTTGATACTGAAATTTCATATTTATTTTGCCTTAAATGTGTAAAAAAGAAAGAATAACTATTCGAAGAGGAACCTCTAATATATATAATGTATTAGATCTAGCTACACCTTTTGCATCTGCACATTTGATTTTTTTATGCATTTAAATCTTATATCTATAGCATTTAATTTAAATGTAAAACATGTAAAAAGCAAGAAGGAAATGCGAGATTTAAAAAAAAAAATGAATTTAAATATGAAAATAAATTTATTAACTTTAAGAATAACCGGTAAGATTATGTTGACTTGTGAGGCTATAATGGCCTTGAAAAGTGATATTTGTGAGATTCATTAAATACCTGTTATCGTGCTCATGTTTTATGTGTTTGATTGTCTATGAATAGAATATTTATCTTTATGAAAGAATTTTTGCAGCGCATTTACTTTTGCGTGTATATAGTCGCTAAATTTACGCTATTTTTATTACTACTATTAAAACAGGAATTTTACACTTATATCTTTGTAATCTGTAGTTTACAGAGAGAATATCTCGATAAGAAAGGATTAAGCCAAGTTGTCGCGACATTGATAAATTGATGAATTTGATAACGATAAACGTGAGATATATATATGGAGTTTTAAAATCAACTGTATATATTCTATTGACAGATACTACAGAATTATCATAAAGAACAATCTTGTACCAATAATCTGAATCGACTGATATTCTGGCAATTCAACTGTCTTCATACATTTCTATGCTTACCAATGATATAAAGAAAATTTAATATTAAGCGCAGAACTAATAAAGTCAAACTAATTAATCTTATGCTTATTTTAATGGTATTTTATATAATGATTTACTATATTTATTTTATTATGCAACCATAAATGCATTTATTATATACATTATATTTATTACAATTCTAGTACCAATAAAATAGTTGTGTAAATGTATAGTGATTACAACATTATTCATATTTACATACAGTACCCATGTCAAAAAAATGTAAAATCTATACATATATATAATACATACGTGTCAACAAGTTAATTACATTTGGAGAGAGTATTAAAAAATACTTTTACTGGAATTAAAGTTTTAAAAAATGCTTTTACTGGAATGAGTGTTTTAAAAAATGTCATTTTTATTCGTCGTACTCCATTTTTAATTTGGAGGTTTCTTCCTTCAACTTGAAATATTCATTAAAACGTGTTGCAGCATATCTGAAAATAATTCGAAAAACATTGATAATTACAGAAAAAAAAAATTATATATATATATATATATTTCTTTCGCTAAAATAGTTTTATTCTAGTTTTTAAGAAAATAATAATCCATTATTAAGGACTATTGTTTATTGTTATTATCAGAGACTTGTGACATTCTTGTAATTCTTGTAAATTCTTTTGTTTTTTACACAATAAGCTTTTACTTACTCCAAAAAGTCGAAATCAATATGCGAATGCTCACTTTGGATGAGAGACCAACAACCCCAAAAGAAATGTGGCAAGGGAGCAAATTTAGTAACCTGCCAGTACAACTTGTTAATTTCTTTCTCAGACACATTATTAGTCGCATTATACCTTTGTAAGTATTCTTTCAACCATGCTTTTTGAAAATTTTCGTCCGGATACAAAGAATAATCTGGCTCATCGATACCTTAAATGTATGTGTGTATATATGTATGTATAAAATTTTATATAATGCAGATAATATACTGAATTAGTTAGAAATGAAGCAAATAAAATATTTTTTAATCCAATACTATTTTTTAGACAATAAAAGATATGAAATATTTTGCAAAAGAGTATGTAATTACCAGCAAATTCTGCAAAGTGATTTGCTATATCAAATGCTTGATAGTTGAATGCAGTATATTCATAGTCGATAAAAACAACATTGTCCTGTTCCTTATTGTACAGTACATTTCCTAGTAAAAGATCATTGTGAGCGTATACTACAGGACTATTTACTTTTGAAAGTATGTTTTCCAATAAATGATATTCTTTTTCTAATACCACATATGGTGATATCAACATCTCAAACCTTAAAGTGAAAGTTATTATATTATAAAAATTGGAATTTAGATATATTTTAGATAGTATCCACAAAAAGAGATTCTATTATATAATTCTTGTTTACTTTGCTTGCTTGAGAGGATCGGAAAATCTTTTCGGCATAATTTGCATAAATTTCTTTGTTTTTTCCCAAATGAAAGCTTTTTTTGACTCTGATCCATTTTCAGGCTTAAGACAATGCATTTCGGCCATACGTCTCGCGATTAATGGATACACGTTTGGGTCTCTAATTGTTTCTACAGTCAGAGTTTCGCCTTCTAAGAATTGATAGGCGAATCCATTATTAAATGTAGCATAAATGCAATGAGTATAGCCAGCCTTGTTCAATATCTATATAAAAATATGTATTCCATATATACTAATTATTCTTGGCCATATATGTTGAATTTGTTATATTTTCATCAAACATAAATACATAAATTTAAAAGTATGAATTGATTACAACTGAAATGTGAAAGAACAAAATAATGATATATAAAATTGATAAAATCTTTACCCTGATATTATTTAATTCATCTTTTCTATCAATCAGTAAATCCGAATTGTTACCATAAATTCGAATCAAGACCATATCTGTATAATGCCCCGAATACCATATTCCTACCAACTTATTTGTTTTTCCATCAGTAAATGGCTGACACAAAAAAAAAAAGGAATATTAAACACAAAGTTATAATATTTATTTATTTTATACTATCATTATATATATAATGAAAAAAATTGATTATTGCATTACCTTAAAATGCAGTTCTTGCAGAGGCCAAGATGGTCTAATCTTCTTGATAACATCTATTGCACCATCAATAATTTTATCTTCATCTATTGTAATATTAAGATGTTCTTCACATACATTCATAGCTTGATGCTATTTATGGAAACAAATTACACAACTTTTCTTTTTAACAGTATTAATATTATTTCAATATTCTTTTATCTCTCGTTAAAATATTAATAAAATTAAATATAGTATAGATTTATTTACATAAAATTGCAGATAAAATTTTGATTTTAGAAACTTGGAGTTTATTTTCTCTATATAAAAAGAATAAAATATGTAATATAGATTTTTTTGGAGAGACAACAAATTGTGCTACAAGCAAATAAGATATTATTTCATTAAGAAATCTATGATAAAAACAATATTGTGTACAGCAAAACACTGATGCACAATAGTAACAGATGTGTATAAAAAACTATTAAACTATAATCTCTCTCTCTCTCTCTCTCTCTCTCTCTATAGCTGCCCCACTGTAACTGAAGAAGGAAATCCGATACATATGCTCTTATATTACTCATACTGATAAAGTGATGGTAGTCAATTGAAGAAAATTGTGCAACATTGAAACTTTGCATACATCAACTTAACTGTTCTCTCTATAAAATTGATATTCTAATATAAGAGATCGCATTTTATTAAATCTATATTCGCGTGTGTAGATAAATATATGTAAAATGTGTGGTTTCTTTCTCACATTTTTTAAACATTTATGACGCATAAATAAAGTTTTTTAAACTGAGTATATCATGTGACGACGATTGCTTACGTATAACAGTTTTAGCAATTATTTATAATTGTCGATTATTATAGGAGTTTTTTTTACACGTATGTCTACATCATAGAAGACACATTTCACTTGTTACTATGGGGCAATCCATTGTCAACATTGAACGATCTAATTCAGTTTTTCAATAATAATAATTTCATCATCGATATATGCTATGGGAACGTCATTATGCTCGCCAATGCTTGTATAGTTATAGTTGTATAATACTTGCTGTGCTCTGTCAAAACAAATTCTTTGACATGTTCTCATGTTGCGACTGCAGATAATCTATTGCATATTTGAGATTAAAGATAAACTTGTGGGATTTATATCGTGCCCGACGTCCAATAGGAGAGTTTGTTTTCTAGGAACAAAAATGTCGTTCGAGTCCGTATTTTCTATTGGATAATATTATCGGATTTTAAATCAATGTGAATCTTCCATAACGCGATATCCAATAAATGTATGCCTTCAAGATTACGTTCGAAAATTAATTCATCGGATAAAATTTTAAATGCGACTCTGAAAATTACAAAATGCGAAGTGAAAATTACAAAAGTGAAGAAATTCACTAGAGTATTTACAATTTCATTTGTCGAAATCTAGTAAATCTGTTCACTTTTGTAATTTTCACTTTGTTTCAAACATATACAATCGACCCTCAGAATTCCGAATATAAAGGATCCAATGATCGGCGTCAAAATGGCTCAATCTCATCTCGATTAATGGCGGGAGGGCCAAAACGCATCGTGCAAATTAATGACACTTGTTTTACATGTCGTTATTATATTTCATATTCTCTGCGATATAACCACATTATTTGATAGTTAATTATTTAACATCGTTATTCCATGTGAACATATAATACTTCATATCGTCTTCTAACCTAAATATTGTACGTAATGTGTATTTGTCTGTTTGTTTTTTCTTTATTTCGTTCCGCGTTTACGCGTAATTCTAAAATTTTTTAAACATATGCACGTTTCGTACTTTTGAAACCACAGAGATACTTTACTGATAAGATATTCTATCCCTGCTGTTTACACTGCCCAGAATTTGATATAAATAAAAAAAAAAGTGTATGTGTGTATATTTAATAATTGTCTCAAAGAGATCAAATAATTCGAATGAAACGCATTACGTGTGTAAATTTCTTATGGTTGTTTAAAAATTTTACTAATAATGTCAAAGAAGACAGTGCTTGGTCAAAAGAATATCCAATCTACAATTGTGGGATTTTTAACAAAAGCAACAAATAAAAACAATATTCTACAGTCTAGGTAAGTCAAATTTATTAAAATTTAAGAAAATGTCTCAAGACATATATAATATAGCTAAATTATTATAAATTACATAATTTATTATGATTACTTATATATTTCTTAAAAGGATGAAAGAAAAACTGTATTTTTTAGCACACCAAAATCAGCGAAAGAAGAGAAAATTGATTTAAATGATGAATCCTTGGATAATTTATATTCTGATAAACAAAGAAAGATGGCTGGAGATTTAATAACAATAGATACAATAATAGATCTTGTAAGATTATAGTTTTGTTTAATAATTATAGTATTATCATCAGTTAATTTACATAATTTATTAAACATATGATTCACAAAACATGATTAATTACAAAAAAATATTACTGATTATAAGACGATTTATATTGTTTCAATATATTTTAAATTGGCAGGATAATTCAGACAGTTCAGACTCGTGTAAAAGTCCATTTACAACACAGGCAAATAGAATTTGCAACATATCTGAACCGTATTATGTTGAAAGTTCAATAGAAGAAAAAGAGAGGATTGAAAAAGAAATCAAATCTTCAAGTCTATTACAAAAGGATACAGAAGAATACTCTGTGAAAACTTCTTTTATTCCCGAATCTTCTGACAGTGAAGAAGATAAAAAAAATATTAGGAAATGTTTACACTTAAATCGAAAGCCAAACAATGCATTAGTAGAAAAAGATGAGACAAGACAGGCTATTGTATCAGAAATCAATCATTATACTGAGTGCAACAGCAAATATGTTCCTTCCAACAGTCCAACATTGTTGAATAAAGAAAAACCTAATAAAGTCACTAATGCAATGTCAAAAAGCATAGAAAATGAACACCTATGGTCTCCTAAGAAACACACTAATAATAAACAAAAGGCAAATAATATAATTTCAGATTCTGATACCGACAGTCCTCGTTCAAAGTATAGTGGCAAAGGATCACCAAGAAAAGAATGGGTAGGACCTGATATTACATTGAATCTTAAAGATTTAGGTTTTAATAAGCGGTTGAATTCATGGATTGAATCTATTCAAAAGGAACCAGTAATGTCCACAATACCTGTAAGTTTTATATTGTAAATTAATGTTGATTAATGCAAGATATCGAAAATATAGGCAATAGTTATTTATTTCTGGCTGTTGTACATAGATTACAAAGGATAAGTTGCTAGAAAGACGCGAAGGTTTAAAGGATCTTCAAATTGAAATTCTTGACAAGTTTTGTATTGCTCTCGAATTGATCCCATTACCAATATTGGAACAATTTCCAAAGTTTGATCGAGATTCTTTCAAGAAATTACAAGGTCTACATCGACATGTAAAAGCTAAATTGCGTTTAATGCAGACAAAATTATTAAAGCTACAAAAAGAAGATGAAAAAGATGTATCCATATCTCTAGAAACTCCTGAATCTGTGTCATCAAACTCAATGGAGAGACCAATTTCACATATCTCTGAGAGTTGCCTGATAAATAATGATTTTGATACATCGAGTACCTTAATATCTAAAACAATAGACTTTCATGAAAACTTACCAAATATAATGGAGTCATGTACAAAGGAGCATAATAGTAATATAGAATCCATAATAGCAATCAAGTCATCTGAAACCACAATTTCAAGTAAGAAGAGCACTTTCCAATTGAAAAGACCTATTAAAACAGTATTAGGCACTGAAGTTTCCAAAACGATAGCAGAGATGTGGGAGAAGGATCGACAAATGTCAAAGGCAGTGAATTCTTCAACAGATTCTGAATATACTCCCATATCCATAAAGGATACATTTAATGGCAGTATTAAGACATCACCAAAGACTGAAACAAATATGTCCATGCAAAAGAACATCATCAGGAACAGTCCAAACAATTGGATTAATAGTACTAATAAGTCTCAGGGTAAGACAGATATAATAAATAAAACATTAATTCTTATTGTATTAAAACTTTTTAATGAGAAAATATTTTATAGGCAGTTATACAGTCTCTGCGAACGCTAATATATTAACACAAGAGTTGGAAAAATTTCCAGCATTGGAAGAAAATTGTAACATAGATATGAACGATGATTCTATAGGTACAAATTTTACATATAATTTTTATTGCACTTATGTTGATAATCTGATTAATAACTGTTTTACTTTAACCTATAGATTGGCCTGAGACTCATCATGCGCAAAGTAGTAAGCACAATGATGCTAATGCAAAACCAAAATTTGAAAAAAATAGTGTGGAATTTGGGAAATTCACTGGTAATTATAAAAATGATGGTATTAGTGGAGAATTTGATAGTTTAACCTATTCACATTCGCAAGAAATGTTAAAGGTATATAAATATTTTCTAATTTCTATATATATTTGTTATATAAACAAATATAATGTCATTATAATAAGTAATTTGTTTTTACACGCGCATAAATTATATACGAATATAATGGGGAAAATATAATATTACATTCATACATTTTAAACGTATTCTATTATTTCAGATATTTCGACAAAGATTTGGCTTATATACATTTAGGCCAAATCAATTGCAAGCTATTAATGCAACTCTATTGAGGTTTGATTGCTTTGTATTGATGCCAACTGGAGGTGGAAAATCTCTTTGTTATCAATTGCCTGCACTTTTAAGTGTTGGATTAACAATTGTTATCTCACCGTTGAAAAGTCTTATTTTAGATCAAGTTCAGAAGCTTACCTCACTTGATGTAAGAGAGAAAATATTAGATATAACATTTAAAAAGTATACATTTAATACACATTATATAAGCATATGCTATTTATATTATCTTTATTTTATTTAAACAATCCTGATATTTTGTAAATTTGCAGATTCCTGCAGCTCATTTATCCAGTTCTATAACAGATAATCAAGCAGAAGCAGTGTACAGAGAGCTCGCCAAAAAGGAACCCATTCTTAAAATATTATACGTAACACCAGAGAAAATCTCCGCTTCGCCAAAGTTGTGTAATACCCTAACTATTTTATACGAAAGAGAATTGCTAGCAAGATTTGTTATCGACGAAGCGCACTGCGTTAGTCAATGGGGTCACGATTTCAGACCAGACTACAAGCGATTAAAATGTCTCAGAGACAATTATCCCAAAGTGCCAACAATGGCTCTAACTGCAACGGCTACACCACGTGTTAGAACAGATATTTTGTATCAGTTGGGTATGACTAATCCAAAATGGTATGTTTAATATATTTAACTATTCACACACTTTTATGTGTTTGTATATATATATATA